GCCATATGGCACAGGATCTTATCACAAATTGTTTTAATACTTATTTATATTTCTACGTCAATTGAGGAAAAATATGTCTTACGTTGTTAACGAACTGTTTTAACTTAAAAGTTGAGGTAAACTTTGTAGTGTATATATCTTTAAAATATTTTAACTTACTTGTAGATTTGTAGCAGTTGAAAATTTAAAATCATATAAAACTGAGAATCATAACTAAAAAGTCTTTTAAATCTATGAGTACAACATCTCTGTGTTAAATCATATGTAGTCTCCGCCATTACAAGGAATGAGGAGAGACCTATATAGAAATGGCAATAAAAACCAAGCATTTACAAGCCAATGAACGAAGTCTTTCCACTTTTAAAAAGTATAGTCATTAGTTCAAACTCCTTTTTTAAAGTGTAGTAAACTAGTACATATTTCCCAAGCATATAAACTCCTTGGTTAAGTTAAGTGCTTCCTACGACCTACGAGTTTTCTGCGAGTGTGGATAGGAAAAGAAATGTTTCCGCAAAAATTAGACGACGCCGGGTCACGCCAAATTAAGCACGGCCGGGTTGAGGCACTAGTGTTGGGAAACTATCGATGTTGAGGGGAGAATATGAAATTGACGGCTGACTTAGGTGACGTTAAAGCATGAAATATGTTAAAAGAGTCACTATGTTTTTATGACATCAAGATGGATAATGGATATGGATATTTAGTAAATGCATAATTTAACCTTGTTTTGTAACTATATATCTAGTTTTATCAGTACAGTGTATTCACTACAAAACAAGGAAAATGATCTGCAATATACATCAACATATCATTCATATTGATTAAACACACTACACACAAAATCCGCCCCATCCATACATCCATACAATAACAACCACGACAAACATTTAGTAACACAATTAATAAAATTCTATCAGTACAACCGAATAATTCCACACCCATTCCACGATACATCGACAGTCGACACTCCACATTATCGACATTCCACCTGGACGGGCCTACGTGGCACCCCTGTGCTCTGAATTCAACAGGTCCCGTCGACAGCCCTGTGACGTTCATACATACTAAGAAACAAGAGGTTATAAGATGAACAGCAACGACTTTGTTTTCTAGTTTATTTAGCTAAAAAAAATACAGATAGATATGGAAAAAATAAAAGATTTGTTTCAACGCCTAAAGAAATTGAACAGCGAATCGCTTTTACAATAGGAAAAGATTAAATAAAATCCCCAGTTAGAATTAAAAGTCTATGAGATGTATAATTAAAACAGTAATAACAGTTAATTAATTATTATGTTACTGTTTGACGAGAAACTCGACTAGTTTCAAGCCATGCTAGAGGCTCATATTCATGAGCAGCGACACACGATGTGGCGACTTACGTGCTGCCACTGTAAGCCGAAAACATAAAAGATGTTTAACTCGTCGAGTACCGGTTTTATAAACACAATTAAAGAACAATAGGTCGCGGTCACCGGTGACCGCTTGGTGCTTGACAGTTTAAGTAAATAATTATGATAAAAACAAACTCTTGACATCATCGTGTCTTTGGCAATTAATTTTTTTATACTTAGATACAACAATATTGTGTCCTGTAACTGTCCTGTCCTATACATGTCTTAACCTATTCTTGTCTTGCCTTCTCTTTCTTCTTACCTATCAATAGCTTCTGTCCTCTCTTTCACACACACTATTCTCTAACTATATGGTGCTACATTAACTACCAGTCATTGGTAAACGGAACCAATCGCATTTGACAGCACATTACTTATTCATGAGGTTAATTACCGAAATTGTTTTATACGAGCGAAGAATCTGTGAGTTCTGCAACGTATATTGCTGGCTGGCAATGTATTTGGTAAATGTAAGCTAGTTATGTAAATAGTAATGGATATGGTTTACTTTGTCGCATAAGAAAACCGTCACTAGATTGTTTTCTGTGCCTAAAATCTAGGTATCTGTATGACTTGCTAGACAGATAAAAAATCTTCTCACACTATGCACAAAGCTGTTCATCATAATCGAGTCAAAATTTCGTCCAAAACGCACTAGTCCATATCAAACAACAAAAAAATGTAACAAAAGAAAAATATTTTCACATTTTTTCGCTAAACAAAACCCGGTCATTTTATCTTCCCACAAAGTATATCGACCTCCTATAGACCATACAATGTGGAAACAATTATAAAGAGCAGGAAGTACCGGAACGATTTCGAGATGGTCCAGCGAATCTCTGTTTACACCTTACCACACATTACAACGAACATACCAAACTAAAATCACCTTTATAGCAGAAACCATAAAGTTCCAAATACGCCTAAAAACCGGTGACAGTACTTGGATGGTTAACTGTACACATCTCGCAATCTCTTGTATGGCAATCGTACTAAAATGGCCGCAAATTACGCTGGACAATGGCTAAAAGTAATGATATGCGCAGGCGACTCGGTCTAATGTCAGTAGATGAATAATACAGGGTGTCATTGGTTTGGTAATGTTCTGGAAAAATCTGGTACAATTTGCTTAAGAATACTGCAAAATGATTATTTGAAAGATAGAATTAAAGTTATAAGAAATCTTGATAGTATATCCAAAAGTTCTTATTGGAATAACGTTAAAGACAGCTACGACAAGAAAGCTAAGTGAAAGAAAATAAATATTAATCAAACAAATCGTAGAGTAAACAATAAACAGCCAACAAAACAAATACACAATGAAGCATACAATCAAAAATACCAAAGAAAACAAACTAATTACTCCACTCTAGCAATGGACATTATCATAGAATTTTTTCCAAGTTCGTCAACAAGTCTAGCCTCGTGCATAGAGACCACGGGTTCGCAAGTACTTTGTTTCATTATGTAGCATACAATACACGCTCTACATAAGGTTTAATTGGAAATGTTCTATAACTGAACAGACAACACATGAAAAATATCCGTGTGTGCCGATGTTGAGATGTAGATGACACTGCTAATGTTGAAAACGATGACAAAATTGTAAATGACGAATCGGGTAAAGTTAAAAATGTTTTTGCTTATATAGATAGTAAGTAAGTAGTTACTAATGTGATGAATTCTTTAGACAAGCAAGGAATATTGATTATTATCATTATAGAAAGAGACAGAGAAATTGATGTAGCAACAAAAATGAAAGAAAAAGTAGGCAGCCGTAATCTAATTGAATAGAACATAGAAGTTAATCTACATATGTACATATTATCTTTATTACACAATCGGGAAAAATACGAATATAATCTAGATAAAATATCTAATCCGAATAACATCACAATCAATATAAATGATTAGAAGAGAGCTGACATTATAGACACAGTAAAGTATTGACTAATTAAAATGTGGACTTTTTTATTAAATCTTTATTTTAATTTCCAAAATTTTGTACTTTAGCTCTCTATCTAACTTAAGTTGCATTTAATTTTTACAGACAAGGTAATATTATTTTAAACTAAATACTCATTGGTTTTATGAACAGAGTATATAACAGAGTGCAAACTTATTGGCATATAGCAACCGTAATTCAAATTCTGCCCAATTGATAATTTTGACAAAACCTTTAAAGTGTTTAGAAACATTTTCCATATCCTCACGGATATGTTTGCCAGTGACACAAGCAGGCTCCGAGCCGTGACGCCGGTTGCAAGTGGACGGTCACGCCACCATCGGAAGTCATCCGCCATTGATACCATCTCATTGTGACCAGCAATTTGCTGCCGGATGTCCGAGACGATGTGGCACTATGCTCATAAGTACGTTTGGTCAACAAGAAAATGTACGGAAAATAACTTACGTATGGAAAAACAATAGAAGTATGAAAAATAATCAGACAAAGAAAACTACAAACACGGAATAAAGGAGAGACAGGGCTTAAAAAATATATTGTTTAAATGATTCAAAAATTAATTTCTTAAATGATGTGTTTTCTAATTAGATCCAATACTGCAGATCAAATTCTGAAGTTCGTTATTCTTATAAGATATCATCTTTGCACGTATTTAAAATTCTAATAAAAAAACAAAAGTAATACATAAAATGATTTCATTACTAAACGTTCGTAACGTATCGACAATGGAGTCAAGCAAAATCATGTGTCTCGCAGAATAATTCCTGACATTTTTAGCTTCATTGTCATCAGCGCACGAAGTCACGGTCCAAAAGAAATAAATGCCATCGCGTCCAATCTGATGTTTTTCATCACTACCTATGTACTTAGTACTCGTATGTATGTGTGTATCATTTGAACTATTTCAACATATTACGAGAATTTGCGGGTCTCCCTTAAGTCTCTAATTAATAATCTTGATTTTTATATCAACAACAAAACCTTCAGCAATTTTGTTCAATAATTATGTTCAATTGCTCGTAGAAATTGATACCAATCAGTTTTACCTACGTAGTGGAATGTAGAAACAAATATCGTGGCTTTTATCTGCAACCCCATCGCACTTTCCTTACACTTTCCAATAACATGTGATTTTGTTTTACGACCAGTCATTACGAGAAATTATTTAGATATTCGTATGATAGTTCGAAAGTTTTTTCGTTCGGTATCGATGTCTGCCAGCACTGGCTAATAGGCGATCGATTTCTTGATAACAATCTACGTAGGTATCTAAATACAAAACGAAAATTAAGTCTGGTTGGTTCGAATAGTGTATTGTACTGTATACAACTTCGAAAGCTATTGTAGGAACGTAATTATCATATGTAGACTACTTTAATATCGATAAAATAATTTTCTTTTCATGTAAAAATATTCAGAAAGCTGCTTGTAAGTTGAAGTCATTTGTTTTCTTTATTCACGTGTCATAATGCATCGCCTTGTAAGCTATGCATTCTGATGCGCGCACGCGCCGGCAGCGGCGCGCACGGGCAGGTGTGCTCTGATCGCTCCCCTCCAATTGCAGAGCGGGCGATGCGGCGCAAGTAGCGCGGTGGGGTCCTACCCGCCGCCCGCTCGGCCAATCGTGGCCCGTCTTGCCTATGATGTCATCGGAAGAGGAGGCCGACTCGTCGTACTCGGATAAACTGCTTAGGAAACAGAAACGCGCCAGACAGCGCGTGGACGCCGGTGAGCCGCGCAATTCTTACTCGACTCTTACGACGAACGGACTCGCGCCCGCGCGCGCCGCACACATGAGTGGTGGACTTTACGGCGCCATCTTCGAGGGCCGCCAACACTTCGGGCTCTTCGGCCCTGGCTACCCTCCAGCTGAAATGATTAACGAACTACTTGGACGAACGCCCAAGCAGGAGGATGCTGGTGATGAAACCACTGGCGGTGATATCGCGCACCGAGTGCTGCGCGATATTCTACAAAGCCGCAAGAAGGACCTCCTGCGCCTCTCCCCGGACAATAACAATGTGCTCGCAAACAACAACAACGACGAGCCCAAGATAAAGATGTCTCCGGAGCGACCACAGTCTCGTGACTCCCGACCAGACCTGGATGATGCGCTACTGGCGCTCGACAGTGCCGGTGACTCGCGAACTTCACCATCGCCCGCGCATCCCTCGCAGGGGTCTGAGCCCTTGCTCGCACCCAAGTCTGAACCTGAAGATCGTGACAGTGATGCTCAACGTTCCTCGCCGCGACCGTTAGATGTGAAACGTGCCCGTGTTGAAAACATAGTGTCGACTATGCGGTCTAGTCCCGCGCCTCAACCGCCACAAGTGAATGGTTGCAAGAAACGGAAACTGTATCATCCGCAGCAGCACGATGGAGCACACGAGCGCTACGGTACGAGCCACAGCAGCAGTGCACAGACAGTGTCAGACGACTCGGAGGACGACGGCGACAGACCGCCACCCATCGAAAGAAAGTTAGTAGAAAAGAATGCTCTTAAATCACAACTTAGAACTATGCAAGAACAACTTGCAGAAATGCAAGAAAAATATATGCAATTGTGTAATCGTATGGGACAAGAATCTGAGACGAATGATAATGATGGTGCTTCTAGTGACGTAGAACAAAACGACGACCCGTTGCCCAAGTCGGAGCCAGCGTCGCCAGCTAAGGAAGTGCCACCTCCAATACCCAACAGTGTAGCGCCGAATATGCTCTCACAAGTAATGAGCAAGATGATGTCGGCGAAGATGCATGCGCACGCTGTGGGTCACCCGCACCTGCCGCCTGGCTTCAACGGCGCGCTGCCCATGATGCCGCACCTACCTCCCGAGCACATGCACGCGCCGCACCCACACCAACACCTCAACAACGCAGCCGCCATGTACCTCAATGTCAGTCAGAAATTGTTCCTAGAGCAAGAGGCGCGCATGAAAGAAGCCGCGGAACAACAACAGCAGCAGCAACATCAACAACAACAGCAGCAACAACAACAACAAAACAAACAGCAGCAGAGGCCACAGTCCAACCAACATTCGCCACAACAGCGACAACTTGGACCTACGCCAAAGCCGCCTTTATCTTCAGAGCTGGCAGAACGACTAGACGCACTCCGTAGCAATGCGGGCTCAGTGGGACCCGTCTCAGGGGCAGATCTCGAAGGACTTGCTGAAGTACTAAAAAGTGAAATCACGGCGTCACTCGCTAGTCTCATCGACTCAATAGTGACACGCTTCATGCACCAGCGGCGAATCATGGGCAAGCAGTCAGAGGCGGCAGCAGCGGCAGCCGAGCAGCTCAATAAAGACATCATGATAGCGACGCAGATGCTCGACCGCAAATCACCGCCGTCGAAGCCACCGCCGAGGCCATCTGGGCAAATGTCAGGTAACCAACCCGTCCATCACCCGGGCGCGCCTAACGGTGTCCCCTCGTTTCTGACACATAACCCAATGATGATGAGCCAGATGAACGGCCCCCGCGCACCGAGCGGTGCCGCATTCTCAATGCACGCCGAGGCGAGCGGGCCGGGGCATGGTGCTCACATACGGCCTCCCACAGGCATGTTCCAGACGCCGCCGAAACCGCTAGGACAGCTCTACATGAACGGCCACTTCGACCGTGAACCCAACCCAGAACAAAACGAGGCCCTGAGTCTAGTCGTCACGCCCAAGAAAAAGAGGCACAAGGTAACAGATACAAGGATTACGCCCAGAACTGTTAGCCGGATCTTAGGGGAAGGTGTGGGCCAGTCGCCCGAGAGCAAGTTCCCAGAATCGCCGTCGCCACGGCCGTATCCAGGAGGCATGGCAGGTTTACCGACACCTGTAGCCATCCCTAACCCAGCACTGCACGAGAGCCAGGTGTTCTCGCCCTACTCACCGTTCTTCGGTGCGGGGGGCGGGCTGGCGCGGTCGCCCCCGGCAGCACCGGAGCGAGAGTCTCCGCCGCTGCCGCACGCGCCCGCGCTGCTGCACCCCGCCCTGCTGGCGCACCACGCCTCGCCCGACTACCTACGCCACCACCACGCCAACGTAGCGCACCACGCGGGCCCACCGCACCACCCGCTCATGGACGCGCAGGACCCTCACTCGGACTGCAACTCCACCGATCTGCCCTACGATGGAGTTCAGCCTACTATATCCTTTTCAATAGAATAACAAACATTCAATTCCAGCAATCTGCGATTGAGGTCAACTTGTCGATGTAACCCGAGCAGAGGGCACAAGCCCCGCGCACGCCCACTCATATCTTATTTCTGTAGTGTTTAACCTTACGACTGCCACCGCCTACTTCCTACTTACTGGTTAGGTATTACGTCTGAGGAAACCTCACAAATGCTGCGGTTTCTACGTTTTCCACGATCCCAGGCCTATCACGTACTTATGAACTGTACAATACAATTAAGTCAACATTAAGTTTTATTACTTCAAGTAATTCAATTACTTATTCCGTCGTTGCATACGATGAAATGACACAATTAAGTTTAGTTTCGCATTTTAAACGTCTCACCAAAATATGTTTATTTCAAAATCCACAAGTGTCAAGTCCTCATTATAAAATCACGAATTCTGAATCTCAAACATCTCAAAGATACTTATTCATTCGTAAACAAACATAATCCATGACATAACTGCAGACGGCTAAGGCACATTATAAGATTAGAAAATGCAAACGGATTAAGTATTTGTGGTGCTTCATAGCGCGCCCACGACAAGCCGGGATCTAATCAGATTTTATATATCTTTGAGGGACAATCCTTGGAGATATACTTGTTTAGAAATATACTGTATTCTTGAACTGTGACATTGACAAGTTCTTAAAGAAATACATGGAATATTACGGGATTGCATCATAACGGAACAATGAGCGATATAATAAAGTAGTCAACAATAGCTAGATACTTGTGCAGCTCGATCTATACCTATGTAGCTAGTACTTGATTAAACAAGGCAGGAAGCAGTCGTGGCATTCTAAAAATAATTATACAATAATACATTGTACTAGAATCATATTCTCTTGCTAACTGACAAAACACATTATAACCATGTTCTTAGTTCTAATTACCTTTTTTTTTGCGATTGCCATAATTTATATTTACTATGCCATATTTAAAAACAATAAGCCTTTAACTCCTGTGTACTCCTCAACGCTGACGCCGATGCACCTGCGCAAAGCCAAGCTGATGTTCTTCTGGGTGCGGTACCCAAGCTCAGCGGTCCTCAAGATGTACTTCCCCGACATCAAGTTTAACAAGAACAACACAGCGCAACTCGTCAAGTGGTTCTCCAATTTCCGGTAAGTCATACTCTATTATTGTACTCTCATTCTCTTATTTTACAGCCCTGAGATTAAAACGTCATTAAAACGGTACAGGATAATATTTAAACACAATATCTGACCAAGTAACTAAATGTATTTATAGTCTTATCCTCGCATCATTATAATTGGCATTTAACACAAATTATTAGGTACAAATAAGCGTATCGTAACCGAAATATATAATTAACTACAAATGGCAACAAATGTGATATGCCTATCCTTTTAGATTGTCCAACTATTTTCCGTTCCCTATTTTAATCTTGTGGTTAATTCATTTTAGATATACGTAAGTGTCGTACCTACCTATGCGTGACTGAAAAACATTCCTGTACTCCATATCTGTATTTAAAATATTATTCATATAAATAGCTATTATGATTACATTTATCCCTGTCTATCTGAGTTCTAAAAGACCCGATTACCTGTTATCTTGTTTTTAACGGTTATAATTATTAAGTTTTAAAATAGATATCGACTAATGTCCAGTTTGGTTTGATACCGTTACTTTTCCCGTAGGGTGACATAATGTAGCTTATGTCACTTGGTAACTATTTAACTTTCTATGAGAAACAATTTTAAAACACACAAACTTATGTATTATAATTTTCTTCATGACTAAACAGAAAAGTTTCGTATTATTAGGCAGGTCTTCATGTATTTTCGTCATAAAGTCTTTGTACAAACAAATAGAATGGGGTAAATCAATTGATTAATACCAATTTCGTCATCTTCCTTTTGGGTAAAGGGTTTTGAATTCACTATTTCCTAATTCCAAATAACTCTGAAGGGGTGACTCCCCCTAACTAAAACTTAAACGATTTAAGGTAAACAAATAGGGTTTGAGAATTACTTTGATGACTTCATATTTAATAGTACTGATTTTCAAGGCTGTTTCGCAACAGTTTTATGAAAAATAGTATGTAATTTAAACGTACTTTCCTCCAGTTATAAGAATGTAAACAAAGTCCGCGTAATGATAGGTTAACGTCTAGATCTAACGGAATTATAAATGAAGAAATTGCAACAAATTACTAAAGAAAATAGTTACTTGGAACGCAGCAAAGAATTCTACTTTTTAATCAAAACAATATACGCTTTTATTGATTCTTCAAGAAGGTTGTTACAGACAAGGCCATACGTATTAAAAAAATAAAACAATTATATAAAAATAGTTTCTTTTTACGCAGTAAAGAACCTTTTAAATCAAAACATAATACGCATTTTACAATTTTATGAATGGTATTAAAGAAAAATGCCATTGGTGTCTAAAAACAAAAAAAAACATCTTTACATAAAAAAGAACACACTTAAAAATTCAAATAACAGAACACAATAACATTTTAATATTTGAAAACGGAACATAATACTCGGTTAAAGGTAACGGAAAAATCCGCCCGAGTATTGATTTCTACTTGACTAATTTTTCACGTTATCTAAGTAAGTACTATGATAAGCCGTACTCCTATGATAAACACCTTCCCCCTTCTTTCACACTGATTATTCTGGTTCACTCGACTTTGCATCGATTTTAACGCTTCCACACTTACATGCAAAACTGATGATAAATGCAAAGAATTGTAGAGCAGTATCTGCTACGAATATTATGCTAGATGGATAGCTAAGGTCATTGTTTTGTGGTATAATATTCTATATCTATTTTACTTAGATTTCGAATTCAAGATTTCGTTTTCTTGTCTTCACTAAAGTAATTTTCGATTAAGCGAACAGAGTAATGTGATTCTGGTCTTCAAAAGACATATACTAAACAATAAAACAAAATAAATTGATATGCATACACAACTTTATCTGTAAACACACAAGATTTGTATATCACACACATTTGTTACCCCACGTGAATTCAATATCGTTTCAATACCGCGTCCATATCGCAATAATATCATGCGTCAGAATATGCGCACTGTCGCGGTGTATGCCAAACACTTGAACATTGATAAATCGACTTTCATATTATTAAAGCTTTCTACTCGCTATCTCAAGCTTGTATTATCATTATCTAAGTTAGATAAAATGATACTGAGTGAAAGCTCCGATAAGAGAATTTGTTTAACATACTTTAGTTCGTACTAATAATTTATAATGCTTCTACATAATTTTACGCTATAAATCTTTCTTTTCTTCTAAGTTTAAAATTGGAACGTCAGAATGACATTAAAAACATGACTCAGCTAAAAAAAGTACGTCTGTTCTAAATATAAACGTGTAATAAAAATCAAAATGGCTACCTGTGTTACGCGGGAAAATCTTTCTTACACGACTTGGACAACTTAGTCCATTAGCATTGTCCCCTTAATGGTAGCATTGTGGACATCGGAAAACGGCCATTTCCTTCGCGATAAACATCTCTGAAAGGGCTGAAGGGGCGAGGGCAGTTTTATAATCGCACAAAAGGTAATTACTAAGGTGTCTGTCGAATAGCATTTTTCAACATCGATTATACTAAGTTTAAACTACTCTGTGGTCAGTGAAGGTTTGAATATCGAACGCTTGAAGGATGGACTTCTATTTTTAAAATGTGACGCAGTTTTTCTGCTGTGGTACTTACTTGTTTATTTCTAATTTATATTTTTGAATTAAATATTTGTCTTTTGAACGTTTCTAATAAAAATTGTTTTAAAGTACTAACCAGTTTAAATCACAAAACAATAATTAATGTGAAACTTAATAATTAAGTATTACAATCGAAAACTTTCTTCCCTATTCGTTATAATTTATTTTCCGATAACTTTCTGTAGCGATCATTAATGTTTTGTTTTTATTATTATCGATCACATCATTAAAACTTATCTAAGGCTATCGTTAACTTTGACTTCACACTGATTAGTGTACCTACATTATTTTAATTAGACCTAATCAGTATTGTTTAAAGCAATTTCAGTGGTATTTTAATAAATAGGATTTAACTAAACAGGGTCAAAAGTCATCGATAAACTTCACGATAACATTGTAATAAACCATTCGTATGGAAAAGATTTATTAATAAAATTTAGCAAACCGAACTTTTTCGTGGCCCATACTGCCTAATCAAACGAAAGAGTTTATTTTGTTTTACCACTGGCTGGTATAAATGTAGAACAAGGTTTCATTTGGCAGTTTGAATTTCTACCAAACGTTCGAAATTCGAAGACGTAAGACCCAAACCCAACACACACGACCGGCCACTTGTTGACATGTAGGACATCTCGAGGGCACTACCAGCCGAGAGCTCTCCTTGTGTCTTTTAGACGCTCAGCTCGTGTGAGGTGCCTTTATAATTTGTTTTCTTTAACGTGTAGATAACAAACAATGTTTATTTCTGAATAATTATAAGAAAAGTGCCTAAAGCACTTCCACTACCTTTCAAAGGGTTATTTGTCTCCATAAAATTATTTTATAAAGCTAAAAAGCATAACCGGTGGGCATGCGTTTATAAAATACTGCATTCAGAAAGACTTCTACATTAAAATACAAAATAAATCAGTCTTTGCATTTGCAAATGAAAAGCTGAAAAACAATTACAATGAAACTTTTCTAAACAAGTCCACTGGCGATGTTTACGTCTTCAGCTCATTTAAAATCAACGCCGCAAAAGTTCAAACAACCACAAAGTCTTCACAGAAACTCTCCCGGGGGGCGAAACAAACATCCTTTACTCAAAGTCGATGCAAAGACAAATTCTTTTGGCGCGCGAACTCAAAGAAATGCGCGGGCTTGTAAACAAAGAGTCACTCGTAGAATTAGCCGGCGCGACGATAGCACTAATTAGCAACGGTGACTCGTTTAAGTTATTTCGCTTAATTAAGTTGCGCAGAAGTGGTCTGCGGCCGGCCCGCCCCGAGAAGGCGTCGTAAATTGTTAGAAACACGGGCAACACTCCAATTAATCTTTTTACACATCCAACTAGTCGCATGAGGGTGTGCACTTAGACCAACCGAGGTAAAAACCTTTTAAGCGTTTACACACGGGCGTGCGCGGTCGCGGCTGCGAAATGTACATACATCAAGTGTGTGCTCGCCCTACACTAACACGATTATGAAAATTAAGTATCAATAAATTATATTAAAATCTCTTTTGGCAAAAAAATTAGAAGCTTTTACTTTAAACGTAAACAATTTTGAATTACGATAAGTTTTTAAAATTAGAACGGTAAAAATTTTCAGTGCCAGCAACCGCAACATTTTATAACGGTTATCGGCAGCGAATTTTATGAGATTTAAATCTCTCATCTGTAAGGACTCTTACACTCGGATACGGAAATGTTACCAACCTTACGTCGCAATTTCCACATGCCTTTTTAACTTACCGTGTTAACAGCCGGAGGCTGTATATATTTAGTTCAATATTTAATGTTTGTAATTAAAAAACTTGAGTGCATTTTTATCGGTCCGCTATTTAATGTGAACATGCTTTGACGTACTCGAAATGTTACTAAAGTGTAAAGGAGAAAGAATTAAAGTAACGCACAACTAGGCGGGCGAAGTCAGCATATAAAATGTATAGACGCGAGTAGTTAGTGTCAGTAATTCATCCCCTAGTCGCACCTTCAGTCTCCTCGCGCCGCATTGTATACAGAAACTGTAAAATTTAATTGGTTGGCTAATACACTGCACCCGTGTGGAGTCTAATTTACGTGTTAACATTTTTAATAAGGCCCGGCGAGCTAGGGCGCCAAGTGGCCGGCCATTTATATCGCGCCACGCTCATACGAGCACCTCCAGTAATTAATACGACCCTTTCGAGGAAGCTTATGAGTAGTTTTCCTTCAAAAACCTGCTAATTACACGTCAGAAGTTTTCTTCTCTGTGGAAAATGTCGCTAGGAGCGCCGGCCACTCAACACTCGACGCCAATCCCATTAGCGTGCGAGTTTATTTAGCATAAGAATTCGTCTACGGCCCATACGCGGGCCAAAAAGAACGTCACGCCTTAGTACTAAATTCTCGCTAACGTGTCTTTACTTCCGAATTAAAGTTCACACGC